GGTTCTAAAAAATCATTAAAATTTCAAAGTGCTCATTTGTGAGAAGAGAGAAATAAAAGAGAATACAATGAAATAAAAACTAAATAAAGACAGCAAAAATACTAATATCAGAAACAAAAAGGGTCATCACTACTGATCCCACAGTGTTGAAATGATAAGAGAAAATCCTATAAAAAATTATATGCCCCAAAATTTGATAAGTTAAATTTAAGGGACCAATTACTAAAACACAAAAACTACAGAAACTCATACAAGAAAAGTAGATAATCTGTGTAAAATTCCACCTACTTAAGAAAATGAATAGAAAAGTAATAACCTTCAAAAAATTAAAACAGTCCCAGGATCAGATGGGATTAGAATTAAACTCCACTGAATATTTTAGGAAGAAATCGCACTAATTATTTATAATCCCTTCCAAATGTTGAAGGATAATTAATTCTAGAATACAAGTAGTTTCTTAATACTAAAAATAGATACAGAATTAAAAGAAAGAAAAACTACAACCTAATATCTCTTAGGAACATAGGTTAAAAGTCCTCAAAAATATTACAAAATCAAATCTACAAGAAATCAAATAAATTATACAATGCAATCAGGTGGGATTTATTCTACATATGCAGTCCTGGTTCAAAGTTGGAAAATCAGATACACAATCCATCACATTGGTAGGATGAAGTCAAAAATCATGTGGTCATATCAATGTATGCAGAAATTTTATTGACAAAGTAAGTACCCATTAATAAGAAATCTGTCAGCAAATTAAAGATAGGAATTTCCTTATCTTGCTAAAGAACATTAAAAACAAAAATGTTACTGACTGTTAACACATTTAATGGTGAGACTTGAAAAACTTTCTCTTAAAATTGAGAAAAGCAAGAGGTCCTTTTTCTCTACCATTATTCTTGCTTACACTGAAAATTTCATCTAATGCATTAAGGCAAGAAATAGAAATTATATATCAATAGATTGGCAAGAAATGTAAAAACTGCTTATTTTCTTTACAAATAGCATGACTGTATGTCTAGAAAATTTTTTTCAATGACAGAAAACTCCTGTATTCAATAATTAATTACAAGAAGTTTTCAGAATACAAGGTTGATGAACAAAATTCAATTACATTCCTAAGTGCCAATGATCAATAATTGGAATCTGAAAAATTAAAATAACAGTGTCCACCAAAAACTGAAAGAATAAGGTAAACTCTAACAAAGTAAGAGCATAGTCTATGTGTAGGTAGCTATAAAAATATAAGAAAAACAATAAAAAATCTAAATAAATGAAGAGATTCTCCATGTTCATGGATTTAAATACTTGAAACTTCTAAATTCTAAATAAATTGAGAGATACTCTATGTTCATTGATTTAAATACACAAAACTGATCTGCACACTGAATAAATTCAAATTTTTTTTTAAAAAATCGCAGAATGTGTAGCTAGCAACATATGGATTGTAAAATTTGCATGAGAGTACAAAAGACACAGATTAGCCAAAGTGATATTTAAATACAACAAAGTTGGACAGTTTGCACTACCTGAATTCATGACTTACTATAAACTTTGCTGTTATAAAAGAAAAAGACATATAGTCAGGGGACTGGAAGAGAGGATGAAGAAATTAATCTTACAATGAGATTCTATTGTGTACCTAGTACAAAGTCTCAAATCCAAAAAATGACAATACAAAATGTAGGCAAGAATATGGAAGAAAAGGAACATACATTCATTGTTGGTGGTAATACATCATGATATAGCCACTTTGGAAGACAATTTGGCAGTGTCTTACGAATAATAATTTAACATATGATCCTGCCATTGTGATGCTTTTGGCCCTATTAATTTTTAAACAGATGTATATACAAAACATGTATAGCAATGTTTATTTCAATTCATTCATAATCAACATAATCTTGAAACATCCAAGATGTGCTTCATATAAAACATGGTATATCCGTATAATGGTGTATTATTCAGTGATACAATGAAATAAACAATCAAGTTATAAAAAGACATGGAAGAATATTAGGTGCATACTATATGAGAAAAGAGACAGTCTTAAAACACTATATGCCCCAGTCCCCATTACCTACTCTATTACTTTACAACAAGCATTGTAGTCTATTTCACTTCCATCTTGGGTGTTTATTATCAATCTCTTCCCACTGGAGCCTAACCTCCCAACCACACAATCTTTTCCTATCAATGTTGATTTATGAGTGAATGGAACTTCCCTGGATAAATCTTCCTTGTTTAGAAGGAGAGTAGAGAGAGAATGATATAAAGATGTTATAAAATCTGATCCCATGAGATATATGTCTACTAAGAAAGCATTACTATAATGCATAGAGATACCTTCCCACTTGCAATAGATATGTTCTTAAACAATTATGTTCAATCACTGAAACTCCTGATACATTACTGCTTTTGAATTACTTAAATCATACTTTCAAACATATGATGGCTCAACACTCATTTGTAAATCTAGGTATTCCTGTTTTTACATGGCTTATCATGCCAGTTACCAACATTTACTATATTGTTCCATGGAACAATATTTAATGAATTACTAACCGCTGTTACTTGCATATTTTAAGAAGAATGATTTACTCAATAATTTGCTTAAGGAAAAAAATACATATATCAAAGAGTTCTCAGGGTCTATGTATTCTCATTTCTAAGAAGGAGCTATTATGCAGAATTTTACAATTTATTAATATCCTTTAAAAATTCTATCCCACTGTTATTGGAAGCTAATTGGAATATATAATAGCATTTCCATTTGAACCTATCAAAAATAAGCAGCTGACTTGCCTACCCAAATTCCCTATGTTGGGAGACAGCAACTTGATTTTTCTAATTCTCCACGCTAATACTCTGGAATTATTCACAACTTCTCGATCAACTTCACATCAACCATGTCAAGAAATTCTATTTCTACTTTTAATATACATCTATAGGCTAATTGCTTCTTCCCACCACCTCCTCTGCTACCCTGATGGTTAGGAGTCACCACCATGCTCATTTGAGTCTTTTTATGACTAGCCTTTGCCCCATTAAAATCAATTCCTCTTTCAGCAGTCAGAATGAACTTCTGAAAATGTTTTTGTCTGAACATATCAGTCTTCAGTTCAAACCCAGCAATGGCTCCCAATCCATTCTAATAAAATCCAAATGCTCTCTGAGAAGATGCCCACATTCCTAAGATGACCTCCAAGTCCTTGTGCCTTATCAGAACCTTGAATCTCCAACTTCTTCTCTCATTCTTCCTTTCTAGTTTCCAAGAAGACTGACTTCCTTAACCCAAATGTTACAGTGATGAACTCATTTTAGGGCTTTGGAAAGGCTGTACGTGGAACAGAAGATATTCTTCATCAGTGTTGTGATGGTTTGGATTTGTGGTCTCCCCCAAAGCTCCCGTGTTAATGTAGGAATATTCAGAGGTGCCATGGTTATATTACAAGAACTATAACCTAATCAGTGGATTAATGCATTTGATGGATTGATAACTTCAATGGACTGAGTGGTAACCTGTGAAGCATGGATCGAGGAAGTAGGTCACTGGAGACGTGTCTTTGGGACCTGTGTTTTGTCCTTTGCTCCGTGCTCTCTTCTGCCTCCTGACTACCCAAGCTGAGCAATTTTTCTCTGATTTGCCCTTCTCTCGTGATGGTCTACCTAATCTTGGGCCCCAGCAATGGAGCCAGCTGAGCATGGATTGAACCATTGAAATGAAATTGCAAACTAAAATAAACTTTTCCTCCTCTGTGTTGTTCTTGCCAGGTATTTTAGCCACAGTGACAGAAAACTGACTAACACGGGCATTGCTTCTTTTCTTATCACTTTCTTTAAGCCTAAGAAGCCTATGCTGAACCTTCTGTGTGAAATTATACCATGCACATGCTCCATTCCATACTTCCAATCCTTCCAATCCCCACAGTGCCAATCAACTTCCAATTTTAACTATTTGACATAGTATATGCCATTTTATTTTTATAATTTGCTTTCTGTCTTCCCTAAGAATTAGCTCAAGAGGGAGAAAGTTGTTTTTTTTTTTTTTTTTCCTAATTAAGGTATGATCTGGTGTTTCGCAAAAACCTCTGCTTGAACTTATGTGCTTCAGAAACCATTTTTGCTAAGTTAAATTTAGTATTTGCTTTAGTCTTTCCGTATGAAACAGTATGAAGCAATTATATTCTGAAAGTTTTTAATTCCCTAGAAGTCCCTATGATATGACCACCTAAGTATCATTCTTTTTAAATGAGCTAAAACCATTTTTTTTTTATCTTTAGCACACTACCTTTGATGTTGATTCAAATTTTTCATTGTAAGAAAAATTTGAGATAATTTCTTACTTTACAGTAGGATAAAATTCAAATTATATATATATATATGACATATTATTTGTGATATAAATGACAAATAATAAATATAATTTCTTTACCCATCAAGGTTCAAGGCTCTTGTCATTGCCTCTGATGCTGGAGCTTAAACTGCATAGGTCTGGCAGTTGGGGTGGGGTAATGTGGTAGGAAGGAAAGGAGACCAAAAGCAAGCCAGGACTCTAGAAGATCTGCAATCCACAAGAAGAACTGATTCCACTATCAATTATTGTTATATTTGAGGTAGATGGTATGGTACAGAGCCATTTTTTGTTTGTTTGTTTGTTTGTTTTGTTTTTGCTATTGATCTAAATATAAGCACTCAGTCTAGGAAGCAAGTAAATTGATAGAGAGTCCAGAAAGATGGACAGTTGCAGGCTCAAAAGCAAATAGGTGTCTGAGTTACTTCTCTCCTACTCTTGAAAGCTCCCACAGGAATCTTTCTCTTAGCTCATCAGCAACATATACAAGGGAGAAGTTTGGGGTATAGAATACATCCTAGTCAAATGAATATCTAGGGAAGCCTTACTAGTTTGCAATTATGGTATTTTAGTTGTCTATTTGCACTACTATAACAAAATACCTTAGATCAGGAAGCCTATAAACAAGAGAAACATATCTCACAGTTTTGGATGCTGGAAGTTGAACTTCAAGGTCCCAGCAGATTCTGTATCTTGAGAAGGTTGCTTTCTGGTTCATGGATGGTTCATCTAGCTGTATCTTCACCTGGTGGAAGAAGCAAGATTGCTCCCTCTGGTCTCTTTTATGAGGATACTCATCATGATCGAATCAAATACCCCAAATGTCCCATCTCCGTATACCTTTTTTTGCGGGGGTTAAGATGTCAACACATATTTTGTCAGGACATGAACATACAGACCATGGCTCTAAGTATGCATATCTTATGCCTTAAATTAAACACAAAAACCTCACCCAAGGAATCTTAGTTACAGAATTCCTGGGGTCAGAAGGTTTAGGAAATAAACCATCATGCAATATTTTGCCTAACCCTTAAGATGCTCCAGTGGAATCACCCTGATGAAAGGACACTGAACTCTGTCTTACATTTTAGTCTGCTAACTTACTTCTTAGAAAGAAAATTGTTTCAAGACATCTATGCAGTTATAACATAAACCCTTGGGAACCTGATCTGAAATAAAAACAGCTCAAAAATCGAGCTGCCTAATACTGTCACTCCCAGTGCATCGTCAAAAAGTCTTATGAACCACAGACTTTATGCAGATGCCAAAAGAAAATATTCTTTTGTGATTTCACAAAGAAATGGAAAGAAAAACCACCGTGAATTTGAATATAAACAGAAGACCTTTCTGAGTTCTATATAAACATGAGAAATATGGAACATTAAAATGGAAAGTTACACTGTGTGTAGTTCTTCAGTAAATGTCACTATCATTATTCTTACAATGTTTGTTGGCATAATAATGGATATTCAGAAAGGGTTAGGGATGAAATACCAAAAGCTGACATATTTTTAATAATACTTTCCATTTCTCAGAAGCTTCTATAATCTTTTTCCTTAATCATGTTTGCTAGGGATGTTGTTATTCCATTTAATCATCTAACCTCAAAGCACTGGTTGTTGATTTGAATTTGGTACATAGTATCTCATGTTCTCCCTCAGAAAAAATAACCAGGTTCATCTATTTCTCTGACTCTGACAGAGTGTTTCTAAGTGGCAATAACAGAGGCAGCAAGAGCATATTTAGAGAAACTTTCATCATATTCCAAATACACCCAAAGGCACCGCAAACAGCTGAGCAGTGATTGGCTCATAACTCACACGGCATGGCTGTGACTGCCCGGATTCTTTTATGGAACTCTGCCCTCAACAGACACCAGGGATTGAACAGTTAGTTCTGTTTTAGGTCTTCTGTTTCTCTTTAACACCTCAACTCAACATGTGCTAAGCCTACTGATTCTGTCTCATGTATGTACGCATTCATAATTCATCCAAAATATATATCCATCTGTCATGTTCCAAATGTCATACAAAATACTGAAGAGAGAGCCCTGGGCAGAAAAATATGGCTCCTTCCTTCCATGACTGAGCTTGCAGAATGAAAGAGTTCTGCAACTCAGATATCTCAAAGACCACATAGATCTCTGCTCCTCTGTCATGGAATGAGACAGTCTACTTATAGACTGTCTGCACTCAGGGTAGGCTTTTTATTATTTATGAGGTAATTTGTTTAGTTCGTACTGGGTTTGAACCCAGAGGGGCCACTGAGCTACATCCCCAGTCCTTTTCATCTTGAAACAGCATAAGTATTCAAACTTACCATCACTCCTGCCTCATTCACCTGAGTTTCTGGGATTACAGTCTTGTATCACAGAACCCAGTGCTTGGGGTTGTTTTAATTCATAAATTTCATGAAGATCCACCACGAATGATGAACTATTTGCAATCATTTTCTGTATTTTGTTAAAAAAAAAAACTGCCTCTCACCCCCCCCAGTATGGTTCTCTCTGTCTTATTATTTTTTTGTCTTTCTTTCTCTCTCTTCATCTATTTTTTAAAAAAATATAGACTAGAACTAATAGATTTTAACATGAACATTTTCATTGATTTAAATATTTAATCTCCGTGTGACCCCTCTAAACTATATTTAATAACTTTTTACAACCTATAGGGGAAATACAAAATATTTAACCTGGCATCCAGAGACATTTTTTTTTTTTCCTTTGTGGAGCTGATCCTTGTGCTTGGTAGATAAACACTCTACCAGTGAGCTGGTTCAGCACTTCAAAACCTTCTAAACATGGCTTTCATTCATCTTTGACAACACTGTAACATATAGATCTTGCTTTAGAAGAAGTAGGGTGATTGTACTTTACCATCTCAAGTTTTCCACTTTGATATGCTTGTTCATCCTCTTCCTGGTCACCCTGAATTTACAGTAATTACTTCTTTATCAAAAACAATTTTTGCCTTTAAAGATTCTCACAAAAGACACATTTCATGAACTTTTCTAAAAAAACATTTCTAAGTTTATATAGTAAATGTGTACATGTCTTTTATATAATTTAACACTTACAGCCTGATACTGTAGTCATTTGCAGGTCTCATTTTCTCACTAGTTTAAAGAGTCCTTGGAAAAAAAAAATGCTCACATTTTTTTTTCTTTTTCCTGTTTGCAATTATGTTTTGTTGTGTGCATACTGTTACACAGGGTCAAGAGTTAAACATTTTCACATATATATTACATAATTATAGTATAAGGTTGTGTGCATAAATATCATCAGATCCATGTTTTCATATCACCATGGAGAAGTTCAAGTGTAATTCTATCACTTTTCCCTACTGGTAAAACCTTGAAAAATTAGCACAATACCATGATTAGAATTTGATATTGATAAAATCCACCAATTTTCTTCAAATTTCCTCAGCTATTGCTACAGTAATTTTAATTTATGCATCTGTGAGCTGTGTGTTTAGTAATAAGCAATATTATCTCATGTGTATGTTCCTGTTCAGGGTACAAAGAAGGTCCTCCAAATAAGGGTGTTTCACATTGCCCTTCACTAACCATTGTCTCCCTTACAATGACTACTCCCCTTTGCTCACAGTTGACAAGCGTTCATATTCTCAATTTCTATCATTTTGTCATTTCCAGGAGGTTATATAAAGGTTACAGGCAGTATGCAACGTTTCAGGATAGATTTTTTCACTCAACCTAATTCTCTTGAGATTTATGCATTTTATCCTGGATTCCTCTTTTTCTTTCCTTTTTTTTTTTCTTTCCGAGGATTGAACCCAGAGTAGCTGTACTCCTGAGCTTCACCCCCAACCCTTTTTATTTGAGACAAGGTCTTGTTAAAATATAAAATACCGAGATGACCTCAGACTTAGAGTCCTCCTGCCTCAGCCTCTGGAGGAGCTGGGATTACAGGCCTGTGCCAGTACTCCTGGCTCATTGTGAGTGTCCCATTGCTACTTAGGTTGTCACCATCTGGAGGCACTGTACTGTGGTTTGTGTAAGTCATCTCTCCTTGAAGGACATCTAGGTCGTTTCCAGTTTGGGGTTGTTACAAATAAAGAGAGCTACTATTCACGTTTTTGTACAGCTTTTTGTGGGGCCATAAATTTGCATTTCTCTGGGATTAATTTTTAAGTGTGCGATTTTTAGTTTCCATTACTGGTATTTAAAAGTTTAGCTTCATGGTTTTGCAAAAATGACTATTCAGTTTTACATTGAAATGTATGAATAATCTGTTTTTTCTGTAGCTCCACCAGCATTTGATAGTGTCATTTTCCCCCCCCTGAATACTGAGTATTGAACTCAGGGGCACTCAACCACTGAGGCACATCCCCAGCCACATTTTGTATTTTGTATTTGTTTAGAGACAGGGTCTCACTGAGTTGTTTAGCACTTCACCACTGTTTCTGTGCTGGCTTTGAACTTGCGATCCTCTTGTCTTAGCCTCCCTAGTTGCTGGGATTACAGGCATGCAACATAGTGCCCAGCTTGTCACTGGTTTTATCCTAGCCTTTTTGATAGGTATGTTGTGGTATGTCATAGTTTTAATTTGCATATCTCTAATAGCTAATGACATTAAGCATCTTTACATGTGCTAGCTGATCATCTGTATATTCCCTTTGATGAAAGTTTTCTTCTTGTTTTTATCCAGATTATATTTGGGAGTGTTTAATGTTAAGCTTAAAATTTCTTAATATATATTCTAGATATCATGTTACTCTTTTGCAAATATTGCTTTCCACAATTTAGTTTATCTTTTCATGCCTCTTCTTTTTGAGACGGGTTTTTGGAGTGTTGTCTAGGATGATCTCAAGTTTATAGGCTTAAGCAAATGCTACCTTCAGTCTCCCCACGTCTCCCTAGGACTACAGGTGCACATGACTTCTTTTCAAAGTTTTAAGTTATTTTTGCATGGTAAAGATTTTTAATTTGGGGGAGGTCCAAATTATTGCTTTTTTCTTTTAGGGATCAAATTTTAAAATTAGAAATTCCTAGCCCTATTCTAGATTCCAAAACCATTCCTTTTTCTTCCAATAGATTTACGTGTTTTTGTTTGTTTGTTTGTTATATATGTGATTTATTTTGAGTTAATTTTTGTTGAGGTGTGGAATTTAGATCAATGTTTGTTTTTGCCTATCAATATACAATTACTAAAATATCATTTGATAATATAGTTATCCTAACTACTATATATTGCTTTGGAATATCTGTCAAAATTTAGTTGAGCATATTTGTGTGTGTTTCTTCCTGGGTTCTCTGTTATACTATGTTCCATTGGTTTGTTTATCTCTTCTTCCATTAATACCACACTGCCTGGCTTACTGTTTTCATATATTAAGCCTCAATTTTCGGTAATATGATTCTTCCCACTTTACTATTTTTTATTTTAAATTCATGATTTTTTTAAAATTATTCTAATGCCAGCACCTTAATGCATACATTTTATAATGATATCTTTAATATTTCTTTAGAATACTTGCTGGATATGAACAGATATTACATTAAATCTATAGACTAATTTGGAGGACAATCAGCATCTTTACTATGTTGATTCTCCCATGACTCAAGGATCTATGAATTCACGAAAATATCTATTATAACAATATTATTTGATTTCATTTTAGCATTCTTTTGTGGTCGTCAGCATATAGAAACTTTACATGTTTTATTAAATTTTTATCAAAGCATTTCCTTATTTTAGAGAGATTTTAGATGGCATTATGTTTT